CCCCCCCCACACACACACACACACACACACACACACACACACAGACTCTCTCGCTCTCTCTCTCAAGTCTATAATCTATAACCCCCTGGATAAAACAAAGCTCAGCACCCTGCCACAGCACGACCACGGCTGCTGCCATCAGAGACCCCGGGCCGTGGGGGCACTTACGGGGACTCGGTCCGGATACTTCTTTCGGATCTTCTCGCCCTCCTTTTTCCTGTACTCGAAAGGATGATCTTCTTTGTACTGGAACTTCATCTCGCTCCTCTGGCTTTGGCTGGACCTGGCTGGGTTCCTTCTTTCTGTGGCTTTTCCTCCCTCCCTTCCTGCCCTTCCCCCAGCTGAACCTGTTTGCTGTGTCACCAAAGCGCCCCCCGATACCCCAGGCCCCGGAGCTCTCGCGCTGGCACAGTGGGCACTTCCATTACTGACGGGGGGGGGAACGCTGGGTATGAAGGATGTGGCAGCGCCAGAGCAACGGCGCCGCTGCCTATAGCTATGTTTTGGTGTGCAAATTTGCATGTAGAAGTGGGGACTGTGCTCCGTCCTTGCAAGCGTGGCCCCCTGGCTCGTGCCATAATGCTTTGGGGATGAAGTCGCCCTCCCTCGCTGTGTTGGAATGGATTGGTCCACACGCCACAGCTACAAAGCGCTCCTGGAGCAAGCTATGCTCTCCTCCTGCCCGGGACGGCGATGCGCTGCGCAGGGGCATTGTAGAGCTCGGCTGGGGGGTAGAGCGGTCTCCTGCCCTTGTTCCGCAGGCAGATTCCCTGCTGGCCCCGGTCCCTGGGTGCCTCGCAGCTGTTGGGGGGGGGCAATGCCTCTGCTCTTCCCACCTTCCCTCCCTCCCCTCCCTCCTTCCCTCTCCCGCCTTGTTGTTGCAGCCAGAGGCCCGAGCCCGGCGTGAGTCGGCGGGATCCGCAGGCGGAGCCCGGAGGCGCGTGTCCTTGGGCTTAGCACACTGTAATAGGGTAGTTTTTCCCCTCCTCATCCCTGCCCCTGCGCTGGCGGGGGCTGCGCCCCCTCCCTCTAAACCTTGTGATCGCAGTGTGAGTCACGCACCTGCAGCCTCCTCCAGCAGCGACTTCCCGGGGAAGAGGAGAGCAAATCACTTTCCCAGAGGCTTGATCTGAGCTGCTGGGAAAGAGGGATTTGCCCCTTGCCAGCTGCCCCCCCCACCGTGGTGGATCTCTAGACCAGAAGCCTGGTGCCAGCATGGGAGTTGGCTGTGGCCTCTGCCTGTTAGGGCAGCCGGTTGCATAGCCAGGCAAAAGGAAGCAAGCACTGGGAAATCTTTTCCCAAGCATAATGGCCCTTTATGAGCCCGTGAATCTTCCTGGGGGCTTTAATGCATCCATAGGTGGATTAATGTACAGGCCAGCTGTGCCCGGACCCAGGGGTCCCTGCCTCGGTGCTGATGAAACACTTGTGGCTACTGGGTGCCACTTGCTGGGCACTGCTGCAGTTGGACTGAGCTGCGGCGGTGCAAGGGGCTGCGACTGGAGCTTGTTTGGTGCTGCACGTGCTCAGTGAGCAGTGGATCCGTATACCTCCTGCCAGCACAGACTTGTGGGCAGGGGTGGCTGTGTCTCCTGCTCCAAGCCTGGGGGGCAGCTGTCCTGCTCAGCCCACTGCTCCTGCTGTGCAGGCCAGGGACAGAGCCTGCAGCTGTGGGGCAGAGCACAGATAAGGTGGGACCCTGAGCACAAGGCCTTAATGAATCTTAATCTGCCCCCGAATGCATCTCTGCTTGGATAGGTGCCCCTGTTTCTTCTGGGACTCTGCCAATCAGGAAGGCTTTTTATGCTTTAGGGACAGCTGTAATTAGTCTGAGAATGAGTATGAGGAAAGAGGTATTATTGCTTAGCAGATTAGCTTTGACAGAGGATCTACCATGCTCTACAGGTTGTGGACTGTCTGTTGTTGGAAGTTTTTGAGACCTGGCTACATAAGGCCTTGGCTAGGATGATCTACTGCTTTGAGCAGTGGTTGGACCAGATGACCTCCTGAGGTCCCTTCCAACCCAAATTTTCTACGGTTCTATGATCTGTTCCTAGCTGTGTGTGTGACTTGTTTGGGCTGATGACATCACTGCCCTGGCCTCAACTTCCCTCTCTGTAAACTGGAGATGATGATACTAAATTTTTGGGAAGGTTGGTTGGTTGGTTTGTTTGTTTTTAAGTACCTTGAGATCTATGGATGAACCTGCTGGCTCAAGTAGGAGGGATTACTAGCCAGTGTTCCTCATTCATTATTACGGATTATTCCCACGTCAACAATTCAGGTTATCCCATTAGGGCACGGAAGCTACTTCATATTATTGAGGTGACCAATTGTGTAAAGGAAATCTTTGAAGTGAGCAGCTTCTGAGCAAGACATGGGCTAGCCATTATTTATCTGAGTCACTCAGTAGGTACAAACAGCAGAGACATTCCAGGAATCTGGCCTGGTTCCTTAGCTGTTCCCCATTGAAAAAGGACATTAAGTGAATGGACTAGCCAGTTCAGATCAGTGACTGTCAGTCTTGCAGCATGTGCACCAGCCTTACTTGGTTGCCTGTTGCTCTGATGATAATGAGAAGTCTAAGGATCTTTCCTATCAAAATTTTATCAACTCACTCATTACGTTTCTCACCACAGACTAGTGGGTCTCTTTTTCAAGGTTGATTTGCACAGCTTTATTTTTTTTTTTTATGTGTAAGTGAGATCAGTGGTGATATAAATTGCTGGGTGTCGGAGGATGTTGTGGCATTGATGGATGATTGTGCCTTTTCCCCAGCTGAACTCTAACTTCATGGTATAGCCACAAAGAGAACCCAAAGACCCATGCTCATATTTCCCTGTGTGGCAGGGGGCTTGGTCATAATACTAAGGCAGTGAGCCCTGCCCATTTGTTCCTATCCCATGCATGCCAACTCCAAAAGCAAGGTGGTGAGGATGCCTGGGGCACTGCAGGTACCCCACTCCAGACATGGTGTTCCAGTGTGCCCCAGATACAGCACCCACATGGTGTCTTCACTGCCTCATGGATACAGGTAGAGTAAATGGGAGAGATTCTGCTAAACCACAGTTAATTTTTCCCTGAGGTTTATTAAAAAAGAAGAACACACTGCATATCCTTTGTCATGTCCAGTTTGTACCAAAAGTCAGGCACTTAAAAAACTTCCCCAGTGCAGACTACTGCTAGATCCTTTACATGCTCCCTTTTCCCTTTCAAGTCCATGAGCTGAACTTGGAATATATCTTCAATCACTTAGCAAAGTGCAGTTCAATGTCACCTTGCTAGCTGGTGCTATGTCCCTCCTGCATTATGAAATGCCTAGTTTGTTTATGTGGGAGGACACATGTCTCGATTCACCAGGTCTTTCCTGTTCCTCACTGCAGCACATGTACCCCTGGGGTGAAGCATCTGTCACATGCCAAAGAAGTGACATTTTAATAGGAACCCTTTGTGAATTTATCAGTAGCTCATCACCTACCCTGCCTGGTTCGATTTCCTGCCTCCTGTTGTGCCTGGTGATTAAATTCCTATTGATACTGTGCTTGCAGAAATGGCTGAGAATTAAGCACCTGAGGGGAAGGAAGCAGGAGATGGGAGAGAGGAATGAGCCGCTGGGAATATTAGCTGCCTCTCTAAGCTATGCTTCCATTGCAAAGTTAATCCTAATCATTTTCTGAGCACCCTGCTTGAAGCCTTGCTTTGGAATGAGCAGCCACATGGCAAAGCTCCACCAAGTTACTGTAATGCTCCTTGTGTGCATTACTAGGACCTCTGGAGGTATGTCATCTATATGTTGGTGTTGTGATAACCTGGCCCTCCCTCTGACTCTTTGCCAGGGAATTTTGTCTTTCTGAGTGCATGGGGGAAATTGAGAAGGCACTGAAAGACTATCAGCACTCAGGTGGCTTCACCTGCATCCTCATGGGTAGCAGGCTGGCTATTGGCATGAGTGAAGGAGCACCCAGGCGCTGACCCACACCTCCACTGGGCCAGACAGCCTGGCTTGAGAGCACCATCAGACACCAGCAGGTTGTGAGGGAGTGTGTGTGTGTGTGTGCGCGCGCGCGCGTACAAGGGGTGTGTTAGGGACAGCAGCTGAATAAGGGCTCAAGTTAGCTCTGCAGTGAAGGCAAAGCCATATGGCCAATCAGTTTGTCTCCCTTCTAGCTAAAATTACACAGGATGTTTAAATAGATTTTTTTGTTAGTACCATGTGCATCCCCCATTGCTGCACCTAGCAAACCGCACTCACAACTGGCAATAAAGATGGAATCCTCAGCAGGTTTCAGGCCCACCAGGCACCTTCCACCCACGACCACCTGGTTTCTGGATGAAGACAGTTTCCATTCCCCAAGACTTCGCAAACTGACAGAGCTGTCATATTTTATGTACCTCCTTGACTGATTCTTTACATGTTTGTGAGGGAGGGAAGTGTGTCATTTCTTCCTGATGCAAACTTCCACTCCATTTCTGTTCTAACTGATGGATATTAGTTATGCAACTGCTAAGCCATGTGGTTTTGTTTTCATTAGTCTGGTTTCCCTCCTCCAGCTCTCCTTTTCTTTGTCACAGTCAGTTTCTGTGTCTGCTCAAATCAGACTGTAAAGACTTTGAGGCAGAGGCGGGCTCCTTGTTGTTTTTTGCATAGTGCATAGCACAATGAACCTTAGTGTACTGTTTGTACCTCTCTACCAGTAGCATAACAAGGTGCAAGTAAGCAGGGCTCCAGCCCCAGGCACTGACTCTGAGGGGACACCAGAATGGTAGACTCCCTGTGGAGTCCCTGCTGTGGTGACAGCAGCAGCTCCCTGGCACTGTGTTAGCAGCAGGGTGCAAGGACACAGTGCTGCTGGCATAACAGCAGTAGCAGCCACTGGGGACTTTGAGTCCCTGGGACAGGTAAGACTCCCCACCTCTCCATGCACTTGGTACCTCTTTCCCCTCCCAAACCCTCCCTCTCACTCTGGCAGGGTTGTGCCAAGCATGCAAACCTTGCTAGTTCTCTGTAACTAAACAACAGTAAGAATTGATCAACAACACAATAAAATAATTGTTGTTGAAAAGTTAGGGATTTTTCTGCCCCAAACCAAGCTCCCAGTGGGATTCTCCCTTTCTTCCTGCAACAATACAAGGCAAGGTTGTTTTTCATGTAACAGGAAAAAAACACAACAAGGTTGAAGAAGTTTCTTTTGCTTGGCCCATTAGCCCAGGATTTGTTGTCATTCCTCTTCTGTTCTATTCCATACTCATTTCACATCCAAGGACACACTGTGACAGAATGGATGAGGTATTTCTGAGCAATTCCCACAAAAGCTCAATTGCACACAATTCTCCTCCTCCTCTCTACTTCCATGTTCAGTATCTTCACAATTTTTGTCCTTTAAACTTTTTTTTTTTTTCCACCACCCTTGGCTTTTTT